TGGAAGTGTGCCATTCTGCAGACCTTCATCTGCATATAATGAATTCATTAGAAGGGCTGAGGATTAGGTTATAGTTTGGTTTACATTGTGATTTGCATTTATATATTGAGCATCAAATTAAAATAATCACTATCTATGCATATTTGTAGCAATGTATGCTTTTCTGTTGTTTCAAAACTAATTTCGGATTTTTATTTTCAGGAAGAAGAAATCATAAAGTGCAGGAAACACCTGCAAGTAAGACTGACAACTTTAAATCATCCAACGGACAGAGGTCTCATAATCAAAGAACTTTAATGAACATCTCAGGTGAAAACACTACTGAACCTTTCCTTGCTGAAGGGGTAGTTTCTATTAGACAAAATTGCAAAGTCAAAACAAAAAGCCTTTTCAAAGTCAAAATGTTTTTTTATTTAAAAAATTAAAAAAATGCCTAAATACTAAATACAAAGACATTATTAAATACGGAAGTGTTTCAGTTTGCAGACCTTGATCATCATATAATAAATTCATTTAAGGTGCTGAGAACCAGATTAGGGTTAGATTTAAAATGCTTTGTGTTTATATCTTGAGAATCAAAAAAAGTAGGAGAGTTGGAGAGTTGACTGGGTACAACCAAATTACCAACTTAGCCAGAATCACAAACGTGGTGACTGATGGCCACCTGACTGGCTCATCCAGCACAACAATTCATGTACTCACGCTGTCAGATGAGAATGAGAGTTACCTATGTCCTGAATGCTATGTGCTCTACAATTTGAGACTCATATAAAATACGTAGGACTAACTGGGACAATGTGGCATCTTGGGCCCAAAGACCAGTGAACAGGCACATCTTACCAATATCAATTCTTCTTCAATGATATATGGAAAATCCTTTTTTGTAAACTAAAAAAGGGAGCACAGACATGCTTGACAATGTCTTGCAACAGGCAAGCTATGATCTTGAGCTTGCCATACAGCCTCTTCACATTTCTGAGTCTTAAGCTGTCTATTAATCTCAAGGCACCACAATGATCCTCTGCACACAAAAGTATTTGTTACCCTGAACGATGCCAAAAGGACATCATTCGGTGGAAATATTCCGACTACACTACTGAAGCAGCACCCACCTGGGTGACCTGCAGCAAGAATCTTGAATGCTTCGCCAAAGTGTGAGTGTGAAATTGTCATAGACTGAATCACTGTGTTACACAGAATCTGCGGATGACGTATAAAAGTTCCCAATCTGGTGTAAACCTGGAATAACAGGTTGCTGCTCTTGACATTTTCTCTCAATACCAATGTTGGGAATACAAAGCTTTGAATCCCTAGTGATCTGCAGTATATTCTTGCATTATTAAACATAACATTAAAATAATAACACAAAGAATTGTCTTTAGGGTATTTGTTTTACAACAAATGTTCCTTATTTCAATTTCAGGAGGAAAACAAGATGCACAGCAGAACACAAACGGAAATGACACTGCCAACCCTAGAACATTCATGGGACAGCCCTCGCACGATCAAAGAAGCTTAATGGAAAACATCACCGTTGAAAGCTTTCCTGAATTTATCCAGACAAAACTGAAGGTTGAGAGTCAAGTAGTCGAATACTTCACTGGTCAGCTAAGTACTCAGATTATCCCAGCCTTCTACATCTTTACCATGATAGTAGGAATTCCCACACACCTCGTTACTTTGTGGATACTTGGCAGAAAAATCAGCACTTCCTCTACAGCCATCTTCTACTTCAACTTGGCCCTGTCCGACTTCCTGCTGTTAGTCACCCTGAGTTTTAAAGTACACTACCATCTCAATGGCAACAACTGGATATTTGGTGAAGTCATGTGCAAGGTGGTGACTGCCAGCTTTTACGGAAATATCTACTGCTCCATTCACAATCTCATGTGCATCAGCATAAATCGCTACTTGGCCATAGTCCAACCTTTTATCTACAGAAGCCTATCAAAAAGAGCGTGCACTATCTGGAGCTGTGTGCTGGTGTGGATAGTGGTCTCTTTTGCCACTGTGCCGGAATTGCTTGTCACACAAAGCTACAGTGTATCAGAAGTCAATATTACCACCTGCCATGACGTACGTCCTTCTGAGGACAGATCCCAAACCTTCCTGTTTTACTACTACCTGGGCTTGATTTCTTTTGGGTTTTTCATACCCTTTGCAGTCACTACATTCTCCTATGTTTCAATAATCAACGAGCTTCACAAATCCAATCAAGACTATTGTTATTACATTAAAACAAGCACTTTGGTTTTTATCATTTTCACAGTTTGTTTCACACCAAGCAATGTCATTTATTTCCTTCACTACATCAAGCTCTACTTTACCAGTCAAGATTATTTTTACATGTATTATAGTATTGCAGCTTGCTTGTGCAGCTTTCATAGCTGTCTGGATCCTTTTCTTTTCTTCTTCATGTCACAATCCAAATACCTGCACCTCACTTCTGTCAGGCAGAAATGGAAAGATTTCAGCAACTCCACTTAAGAACTGTTTCTGAAAAGCAGACCCTACAGTATATAAGACTACACAGCTGAGAAAAAAGGTTCTAAACTCATAGTGAGTTTAATTCAAGTTCAATCTCAATTTACTTCCATTTTAATTTCATTACAGCAAAATAATGTAAGCATGTTTTGCTTATGTGGACATGGTTTATTCTATGAAGAACGAAGACCCTTGTGTAATCTTACTGCACTTTATTTTGCAACCAGTAAATGAAAAGAGTTGTAGTATATAAGTATTTTTAATTTAATTTTTGTCTAATCTTTTATGAAGAATGTGACTGTTGTGAAGTAAAACAGTATTTGCTTAATCATCTTCAGGATACATTTTTCCCATTGAATTTTTATTTTGGTAGAAGAAGTTATCAAAAAATGTTCCTTGTAATTTCCTGTAATTTTGTGTTCCTCTGTAAATTCATCTTCTTTGTTTCTGAACATTGTCTTTCTCTGATATCACCCAAACAAGAAAGATCTGGGCTCATGTAACCAAATGACTGTTCATCTTGAGGTGTCTGGTAATAATTTCTTCTTGTTCACCATGATGAAAAGCTTATTGAATATATACTTAAATCTTTAGAATTTTCTCTTGCCTTTGCCTATTATTTACATTTAATACATATGCTATCTGAATGTTTATGCATTGAAAATAATGTAAATATGCTTCATGATCCTTCACAAAATATTTTAATTATAAGGTAACTCAAATTTATTTTTCAAAGAATGCACAATGAATTTTGTAGCATTATGTCAGTAAATACTAGTAATCAACCTAGCCATAACTACAAAAAACCCATCAGAATTAGACATTGATGGACAGCAAAACAATAAGACCTTATTTAAAATAAAAAAAATAAAAAATAGTTTTTAATTTAATCTGCTATATGAAAGGACATATTCCACCACAGGTACATGCTATAATTTTAACAAAGGTTGGTCTCAGAAGCTTAGTTTAACTACTTGGAGATGCACTCCAAGTATGGCTCTGTGCACAAGACTATCAAAAATTAGTTTCAACACAAGACAATTCCAAACACCATTTCACTTCTACTCAGTTACAGTACCTACTGAATGCAACACCTGGCTTTAAAGAAAATAAGCCAGTAAAAACCGGTTTGATCAATGCATTGCCCTGAAGCTACAGTGCATTGCAAACATTGTGTGAATATGTCAGAGGAAAGCTTCAGACGGGCGTGCACATATTCATATCTACTAGAATGTGAGTAATCTAGTTGATACAGTGTCTCAGTCTTTACAATAAGCCTGAATTCAGAATTAGTTGATTAGAACTCCAGTACTATAACTGAAACATTTTCGGATCTTAATAAACACTTTTTGAAACACTGGGAATATACAGAACTGTACTTCAAATATTCGAAAAACTACGTTTACAAACAGAGGGGTTACAAAATAAAGAATACCAGAAATGACCAAGCAGGTTAGTCAATAAGTAAAATAAATAATCATAACTCCCAAATTGTAAAACATATGCCAGAAAAGTACTCCAGTGGTTGGTATAATTAGAGGCACAGCTTTGATAAAAAGAGTAATAAATCGGGCATTCTGGGCTACATTTTTTTTTTTATTAATGACAACACACAACCAAACAACACACAGCGTAAATATAAAATATGCGACATCTATGTGTCTTGAAGGCCTCCATCCTGACCAACCAGAAAACCCCCAGACTGCTATGAAGTATCTGAATCCTATATGACTCCTAACAGGCTCAAAAATAGCCTTCTGCACCAAACAGAATATAACCTAGAGTTAAATATAAACCTAGATGCTACAAAATCAATAGGAAACCTATCTCTCTATTCTAAAAATGCAGCAACTAAAATGTATTCTTTACAAAGGAAATCAGAGTTTCTGACGAGCGAGCTCTTTTAACGATCTTCAAACACCTACTGTAACTCAAATCCTTTCTTAAAACTGATGGGAACAAAGCCCTTCTGCCTACACTGTCTCTACTCCTCTCTCTGCTCCTTCCCTATATTTCTGTGTCCTCCCCCCTTCCTCTCCTTGTCTGGCACCCTGCCTGTTTCTATCCTCTGTTCCCCAACTGTTGATGACTCTCATTCACTGACCCTGAACTTAATTAACCAAGTTAAACCAGAAGACTCCTTTGATCAGACCCTCTCCCACTCAGCAAACACCCCAGTTCCCTTTTTGCTTTAAAGCTCCTAAGAACTATAAAAGTTGTCACGAGCCAGGTATTAATTATTGTCTCTATATTCTTAAGACACCTCAACTGCCACTTCCAAAAACCATGACAACATACTGTTTAAAAACAATAAAATGTATTTTCATCTTACATCCATCCTGGAAATCATGGAAAAAATGATCATTGCATGTACTGTACCTCCCACTTTTGCGCCATTTTATTTAATTTTCTTTCTTAAAAATAAATGGCAAAACAAGTAATTTGATAAATAAATCAAAAGATTAAATTCCTTTGTGGCCATCTTTGAATAACCCCCAAAGAATGTCACAAAATTACAGTGTTTAGTACTTTCTGCCTTTTCATGATACTACGATAGGGATAAATTAGCGTTCTTTTTAATACTTCCAGAAACATGAGAGACAAACTGAAATGGAGCACTTCAGCTAGCTCAACAGAACAGTTTTCAACTAATTCTAGCAGAACCAGATTTAGTCATATAACCTACCTTGCATATCTCAGCTTTAGCATCCTGAAGAACATCATGATAATGCCTGGCTGTTTTTGGATTCACTCCCTGTAGCTTGGCTGTAGGTAACAGTAATGCTTCCAGAGTCTTTTCTGGGTCACCAGCATTAAGGGCATCATTAATCTGACCAATAGCAATAATTCCTAAGGTAAAAGAAATCCAGTCATCAGAATATTGGTGAATCATCTCGCTGTATTGACAAAAATACTGTAAAACCACAGAGGCGTTTATTACATTTCAATAATATGTAACTTGATTGGTGAACTGTAGCTCAGAAACAAAGGTATGTTTCTAGGAAATATCTCAATCACAGATGAGGTAACGGATGACAGACAGCAAATCACAAACGTTTTTTTCCATGATCAAAGTTGCTTTCCAAAATTATTTAAGACATTTTTACTTTTAAAGCTGATTTTATTTATGCTGCTTATACTATTTATGCTACTGATACAGTATCTTCAAAAATAAAATCTAACATAAGATGGCATAGGGACACTTACTCTCATGCTCCTCTTGAACCTGAATATTGACCATGTCGATGCACTTCTGCACATCATTCCAAGTCAGGAACTCCTGTCCCTGGGAAGCTGCTTCAGCCTTGAGAGAGATCAGCGTATCAGCGTACCTGTCTCAGGAGAGCACGTCAATATAAAGAAGAGACTTAAATTACACATCAGTGAAGGGTGCATGAATACCAAACACACACACACAAATGGAAAAGCTCATTTTTGCAAATCCTTTTAAACTCCACTGTTATTAAGGAATGCACTAATTCATGTACTTGTACTGAACAATGAGAGTTTTAGCCAACATCACGGCCAGAAAAGTATACACAGCTTAATATCGCCACCTTCTGGTATACCTGAGCAATCACCAGCCAGTAAATAAAGAATATTGAGTTTCAGCTTTAACAAACAAGTCTGCAAAACGTTTTAACCAAATAATATACATTCAGGGGAAAGGATATGTGTATGTTCCTAATGGTTCAAGCTGCAATGTTTTATTAAGAGAATACAAACTAATTCTTACTTTGTAATTTTCACCTAATTAAAAGGAGTCCACTTCCCTGAGTTACAAGGAACTTTTCGTAAAAGTATAAGTAATGCCAAACTGCATGTTATGTTGGTTTGGTTTCCACTATGCAAATGTAATGGGTTCAGAGCCACTGTTACACACAGACTGCGCCACACAGTCTCAAGAAGGGTGACCAAAAGAGGCCAGGAATGAAACTAAAGACGGTGAAACACACCTCTGCAGGTTTTCCTCATCCATATTGCTGAAGCCCATGGGGGACTCCCTCAGCTGATTAGTCACGGCCTGC